TGATGAATGAGTGTATCATCCTAATAATTTTTTAAATTATTCCACAACAAAAGAGAACTTTAGTTCTGGAAATGAAGTGCTCCCTGATGTCGAATGTTTGTCCTCTTTGCAGAGTGGGATGTGCTATATTGTTCGAACCCTACATCACCTGGTGGCGGCTATCGGAGTTCAATCGGACGCCTATTTCTCAAAACCAATGATATGATTCAGGTTGTTGAAGCCCCTGACACAGAGAGAAACAGAGTGTCTTTTTCAGTCCTGGGGCTCCTAGAAAGAGAAGTTTCATTGAAGGGTAAATCCGATCGACGAACTTTTTCTTTGATTTTCTTTTTTATTTATAATCCAAGTATTTAGGGAATACTTTCTTTCTATGGATACCTATCGACCAATACATCAAGATTCTGTCTAGCTGCTTTTGCTAAAACTCATATAGCCCCTATTTGGGCTCTATTCTCCCAAAATATATTTGTTTCCTTATTTTTAACCACAAACTCTTTAATAAAATAATATTACGTGTAAATTCAAAACTTTTTGTTATTTTTTAGCCTCACATTCTCCAAAATATTACTATTCAAAATGCATTTTGGATATAGCATCTTGAAAACTTACTCCATGTGTGAAGCATCAAGTAAGGAGAGATTGAAATTTAGACTAACCTTGTTCAGCTGCAAGATTTATCTATGTCAGGGCAATTACCATATTATAACCATAAGTTTCAATGGCCTCATACCTATGTTGCCCAAGAATCTAGTATGCACTCAAGCCTCAATTGTATATTAAGTTCAAACAATCACATTCCTATGTCCATCAGCCTGATGGTATGGTAAACACTGCCTGATGGTAAACACTGCCTGCATTAACTAGTACGTAGTTGAGGCCGTAAATTGACGCTGGCCTTCCATGGATAAGCTTAGGCCACTGATTAAGTGTGGCTATTTGTTGTCTCTGGCACAAAGTTATTGTCTATTCCCCCATTCCTTGGTCTTGCTTTTGGTATCGTCAATTAATTTACATTCTATTAGCAACCCGCATGATGAAATTTCGTTTCTTGGGGCACTTGATTTGTGGCATATATATCTAGACTGCTGTTGGTGGAACACTGAATTTTGTATTGCCACTATATATCTTCTGTTAATTGAACTCCCCTTGCAATAATAATTTTCAGTTATTCTATTTTTGTTCAAATTTAATCAAACTAATGGCTTTGGACGAAAAATGGATTCAAGTAGTGTTCAAGCCACTTGAACTCAAGGTTGGAGGACTGGAGTTCACACATGATGGGAAGAGTGAAGTAAAGCTGGAGATTACATACATAGATGAGAAGATCAGACTGGGAAAAGGTTCAAGAGCTTCTCTCTTTGTTTTTCAGAGACGCAGACCAATCTCATGAAACACTCATTTTTTTTTTTTTTTCCAAATAAACACCTCTTTTTTACAAACTTTTCTAATTGGTACAAAAATAACAGAGTACTTGTAATATAACAATGGTATTTTAGAGGGACGGACCTTGTTTCAACATCAAGAATTCTTCATTTGCATAGAACGTTTCTATGTTAAGGGAGTTTGCTTCAATTTTTTTTGTTTCAAGTGGGGGATAGGGCTATGACTAGAGGTGTAAAGTGGCACGGTCAGTTTGTGCAGCCAGACATTGGCGGTCCACTTGGCCATGCACATATCGGCATTTTTAAACTGTCCGATTAATTGTCATTAAGAGGTTAGAAAGGATCTTGGTTAAATAAAAGCATAAAAACGACTGTTTTTAAATGCTAAAACACACTTCAAGGCATAAACCAAAAATAACATCATCAATTGATCCATGAGAAGAGATCAACTGCATGTCTATATATCTACCGATGCAGAAACCATGAAATTTTTTACAGGTTTGACACCATCTTGTTGCTTCTCGACTTCCAAGCACGTAGTGGGCGTCTCGTCTCTCTTGGCCTTGATGCTCGATTCACTGTCCAGTCACAGAGAGTGCAAATCCCTCATTAGCAACAGTCCTTGAATACACCTCCTTCACTAGCATATGAAGAGATGTCATCATCCCACTCCCTTTCTTTTAACTCTCCAATTTTCTCAACAGCTTCATTTAAATCCCACCTTTTCTCCACATCCCATTCACAGCAGCACATCCCAATCTTCAGAAGCCACATCATCTGACCTTCCTCGTTCCTGGTCGGATTCATTTCTTTATCAAACACCTCACCAGTCCACTCTTCTCTCACGACAGACTTAATCCATGCAGCCAAATCAGCATCATCTCCTCTCCCTTGTTTCAGATAATTCGTCAGAAATCTGCCGGTAAGCAGCTCTAGTATCAAAATCCCAAGATTCCACACATCAGTCTTTCTGGTTAAACTTTCATTTTGTGTAGACTCTGGTGATTTATAGGCTACCATAAACTGTTGAGCATGCTCCTTGTTGATCACTGGTGCTAGGGCATAATCAACGAGTAGGGGCTCACATGTGGTGTTTAGCAGAACATTGGATGACTTTAGATGGCCATGAGGCAGGGTTTGGGTAGGGAGCTCTTTGTACAGATAAGCCAATCCCTTGGCTACACCTTTTATGATCTTTAAGCGGGTTGGCCAGTCAAGAGCTAGTTGTTGAGGACTTTGTTTACCTATATTAAATTGAATTCAGATAAATTAAATTAGTATTAGACAACAAACATTAAAGGTTTGTTGAGGACAAAATTCTAAGGAAATAAAAAGCGTTTCATAACTATCATTTTAAACTCAATTCAAGGTGAATTCTAGTATGTTATCATAGCAGACAGTGGACTACAAAATGAAAATTGTAGAGTCTGATGAAAAATAAGTTAGGTGCACGTAGAGGGTGCTTTAAATATTCAAATAAGTTTGTCTCCTATCTCACAACTTAAGCTCTATGAGCAGGTAGTTTAAGATAGTATCATAGCAAACTGAATCGTGAGATCAAGTTTCGCTATATATCAAGTTTTTATGAAGTTAGGCCTACCTGTACTTGAGGGGCTATGTTGAAGAAAAAATTTAAATAAATAAATGTACTTTTAGATGAAGTGGTTTTGTTCGAGAGGAAACTTCATATGCAACACAACCATGTTTCTTCTATTCAAATAATCCCATAAGAAGTTTAGATTTCACTTACCATGGAGATGACTGGCCAAGCTGCCATGTTCAGCAAAATCAGATATCAGAAGTTTGTCTTCTTTTGTGTAGTAGAAAGCCACAAGAGGCAGCAGATTAGGGTGAGACAACTTTCCTAGCTTGCTCATGTGTTCATAAAATTCTTTTTTACTTGAACTGCTCATTTGTCTGAACCTCTTGACGACAAATCTTTGGCCATTATGAAGGACGGCCTTGTAGGAAGACCCAATACTTCCACTCCCCAATACTTCAGCAGATGCTCTAAGAAGTTCTTCCAATTCAAATCTTTCCCTATCATTTCTCACAAAGTATAATTCTCCTTGTTCATTGTTCTTGGAAATTTCACCCTTAGAAATGCTTGATTCTTTCTTGTAAATTTCAGCAGATTTTTCATGTTCTTGTGGTTTTGCACGTCGAGAGAAAATGAAAGAAGATGCAACAATGACTGCTAATGGAACTGCAATCGCAATGGCTACAACGAGGGCGAGTTTCTTCTTTGTGCATTTGTCTAGAGGTTCACCACATAGATTGTTTCCTGTTGAAACCAGAAGATAAGAATGAAAAAAACAAAGAGTAAAAGATGATTTTAGATAAGTTAATGAGTAAAAGGATCTAGAACTTTTCAGATTTTCTGATTATAAATATTGCTCTTCTCTAATATTTGTTCTTACTTGGGACCTCGAGACTCTCTTGAATGTTCTTTATTCTTTCTCGGGAGGAGCTCAAGATAGTCTTGAGGTCCCGAGTAAGAATATATGAGTAGAGTGGCTTTGAAGATTCTTAAATGAATATTTGGAAAATCTTTGGCGGGCAAGGGGGAAGGATGGAACCAGTGAGGAGTTGGGGTGGGAGAAAGAAGAAGATGAAATTTGGGTATACTTGGAATATCATAGGAAAGAAGAATAGTTTACATAATTTTGAAACAAGAGACTCGTCTTCATTCTCGCTTTTCAACTTAGTTCGTTAAGGATACTCTATTTATTCGGAATTAATGTATCTGATTTATATATATCTAAAATACTCTTACAAACGTGCATAACAGATTCTTCTGAATTGATTAAAATTTAGACAATTATTTGACAGCAGCAACTAGACTTTGATATCATCTCCTATTTAGAAATATAACATTTATTTCTTGTAAGAGCTTCTATGGGAGACTTAAGAGAACCCCTGGAGTCGAATATTTGGATAGAAAGTTTTAGCAACGTGGAAAGATTATTGATTGAACATTTGCCAAGCTCATTTTCCATCGTCGTGAACTTAATTTTCAGTAGTCATAAGTTTCATATACATGTTGAAGATGAAAAAGTGAATTTAACGTGAACATGAACGTGAAGGGCCGTTGAAATCTTGAATGAGACGTAAAAGGAGTAGAAGATCTTTAGGACTTACCTGAAAATGAGCTTTTATCCTGGCTCCTAAGTGTAGTTGGAATAGGACCTTCAAGTTTATTATTAGCAAAATTCACCGTCAAATTTTCCTGCCAAAAATCTGGTATCCTCCCTTCAAACTGGTTGTTCTGAAGCTGTAATTCCACAAGTTTTGGCAATTCCAGAAGGGACATGGGAATTTTACCCGAAAACTCATTATTTCTCATCACCACTCTTCTCAACGACTTTATGCCAGAGAAAACATCGTCGGGAATCTCACCTGAGAAACTGTTATTAGCCAAATACAGGCCTCTTACTCTACCAAGTTTTTTCAAATCACCTGGAAATTGACCGGCAAAGTTATTGTTCATGACACTTAGCGTTAGAAGCGTTGGTAACTGTGCAAGGGTGTCCAAGTCGATCGTGCCTCCAAGCCCCATGCCTTCGAGTTGTAGCCCTGTAAATTGACCATTGTAACAAACCAGGCCTTTCCAGTTAGAAACATTACCACTGCACAATATATCTGTCTTACTCCAATCATCTAGCGCCGTGGCGTTAGAGAAACCCCTTGAACTTGAGCAGGACTTTCACCTCCAAATCATCAGATGATGCCGTTATAGCACATTTTAACAAGACTAAAAGCAGAAGAAACCGGTATACGATATTATGACACATGCTCGTATAGAGGCTTTAACACAGTCTATACTTTGGCTTCTGTCGTATGGTCCTGACCAATGTAGATTACCAGGGGGGTCCGAAAATCAGCGAAAGAAGATGGTTTTTGTTGCATAGTGTTTGAAACTTGCTGAGGTGAAAATCAAGGCTGAAGGAGGATTCTAGAAATGATGAAATGCTAATAGGCCAAAATATGGTTGAAGACAAAGGAAGTAAAGAGGTGTGGTGAGATTGACAAAGTCTATTAAGAAATAGCTGTTTGGCCGGGGCCTTTGAGTATTTCTTTTGCCAGTTTTGAGTTCATCGCAAGTCTTGTATTTATGTGTTACCTTGGTATTCCCATGATCCACATAAAATATTCTTCTGATCTTTACAATGATTCTAGTTTGATGCTCACGTTGATTTCTAGGATGAGCTCATAGATATTTCGATTACGAAGAAAGATTGACTATAAAGCTCGAGTGTACATAGCTTGAAGGCCAGTCATAAAGCTCTAGCTCGTGCCATGGAAGGTTGAAGACACAAAAGGCTAAACAGGCAAAAATGAACTGGAAAATATGGGTTAATACCGCGAAAATCAATCAGCTCAAGACGACAAGCTATCAATTTCAGGCAAAAAAAAATACAAACTTGTAACATATCATTTCCAACAAGAAAATAAGAACCAAAGCCATTTATCCCAATATACCCTTAAATTGTAATTGAAATAATAAAAAATAATAATAATTACTGAGTGTAAGAGTATTTCCAAAAAAACTCATTAAACATGATATGCTCTTTATTTTAAAGAGGCAACATTTGAAATCATGCTCCCAAAAGACCATTTAAATTAACATTTTAATTTAGAAAGTTTGGAGAATCAGACTCACTCTTTGTAATTAAATGCATTCAAAGTTTTTTAATTTTTACTGTAAGAAAATATTAAAATAATCTAACGAAAAACTAGTTAAAATAAAAGGTAAAGAAAAGAATAAACATTTTTTGAGAATGATAAAATTAAGTGTTAAATATAAAGAGCTTGTTGTAGTACTTCAAAATTTTAACTCTAAAAATTTATAGATGATCTCTAAATTATATAATATACTCTTTAAAAATAAAGATTCTTTTGAACATGCTCTAAAGAATGAGTTAATAGTTGTAAAGATGTGTTTAAATGGGTGGAGGATAATAAAACAAATGGAAAAAGTCTATTCTCAAGTAACTTTCAAGCTAAGCGAATATGCTCGAGCTT